GGAGCAAGGCCCAGTTTGAAAAAAAAAAAAAAGGCCCAGTACCTCAAGGCGAAGACAAAAGAAAGCAAAAAGGGGAGGGGCAAAAGGGAAAAGGGGGTGGGGAAAGGGGATTAATTATATAAAGGGGTTCGTACGTAAGCGTACCTGCTTGTATGTAGCAGTTGCGGATATCCAGCTCGTACGTGTCTGACACGTGGATCCCGTCCGTATTAGGAGTGTCCGTCGGGGTCTCGATGTGGATATTTTCGACCGTCACCACATTGCAGAGATTGATCGTGAGATGGAAAGCCGGGCTCGAAAGCAGCTGCAGTCCCGATACCGACACGTCATAGCTTTGCTGGACAAGAACGAGGGCCGGGCCACTATGTTTCTTCCACCATCTTTCGCCATTGCCATGCAGAGATCCCGATCCCGTCAGATGAAAGTTCTCGCACCTGTAGATGTAGATCAGGCCGTCGGCGTTCCGCGAGGAGCCGCCAGGTGTCGGTCCCCGAAGCTGGCCGTCGATTCTGAGTGTCACTCCCTTGCAGTACTCGATCTTGAAAGGATGCACGTCGTAGGTGCCACCTGGAATGGTCACTGTGCCCCCGCCGTTCTGACACATCTGTAGCACTTGGTCTAGATACCGCGAGATCCCGTCCCGAGGCCGGTCGCGACCCCTCCTGTACCCCCCGACGCTGGGGGGCTTGGTAGCATTACCAGGCAAGGGGCCAGATGGGGGTCCGGTAGGTCTCTTATGGGCTAATGCTGACATGGATTCCTCATCTGACTCGAAGGATGACACGGCGGGCGGCATGCCGAGTGAGTCCAGAAAACCGCTCTGGATATCCTCAATAGGTAATGGTGCCGATAAGTTGAAGGATAAGGAAGGGGTCACGAAGAGGGCGGTCATAGCTGCAGCAGAGTTGAAAGGGGAGGAGGAAGGAGGAGGAGGAGGAGGAGGAGGAGGTGTAGGAGATGATGTAGGAGATGCTGGAGGAGGAGGAGGAGGAGAATGGAGAGAGGGAGGGGTGGAGTGATCGTTGCGGGCACGGTGAAGTGCTTCTTCTTTCGGATGATGCTGACGTGGCAACGGCTGTGTCAATGATTCGCTGGTCAATGATTCGCTGGTTATGTTTGAGGGAAGAGCCCAGGACAATTCGCTGATCGTGGACAGGACTGCATCAGCCGTCCGATCTTTCGTGGAAGTTTGTAGATGTCGATCGGAGTCCTCCGTCCGATTGGGATAAGAATTTCCGAGGAGAATCACGCGATGAAGATTCTGATTTGTCGTCGTGCGCGAACTTCGACTGCTAGTAGCTGCTGTGATAGCATTCGCCTTTTCTTCCGAGGAGATTAGTTTTCCCGCCATTTTTTCGCCCCGCGCTGCGAGATGCCGCCTTCTTCTCGCCTTTTCTTCCGTTTTTGAGATCGGTTTTCCCACCATTTCGTCTCGCGCCGCGAGATGCCGCCATCTTCCCGCCTTTTCTACAGCGGAGATCGGTTTTCCCGTTGCCGTTTTTCCCGCCATTTCGTCCGGCGGCGACGCGAGATGCCGCCTTCTTCCCGCCTTTTCTTCCTTTGAGATCGGTTTTCCCGCCATCCTCCCCCCCATCGCAATTGATCCTCTCTCCGCCGTCATTCCGTGCCCCGGGACAGACCGCCTTCTTCCCGCCATTTCCTCCTCCTCGTGCATCGATCTTCCCGCCATTTTCTTCCGCATGATTGCAGTAGATCTGCTTCCCGCCATTCGCTCCTCGCTTGTGGGCTTCTTCGCGGAGAACCCGTTCCGCTCACCATCGATCGATGGGATCCCAACGATTGACCGGCCATAGCCTTCAAGGTCGTTATCTTTGTCTCCCTGGGATCGGGATTGCCAATCAATCGGCTCCTGTGGATTGACTGCGGCGGCCATAGCTGAGCTTGCACTCTTGCTCGCGTCTGCGCGAGGGAAGACGACGAGGAGGAGGAGGAAGAGGAGGAGGAGGCGGTGAAGTAGCACCTGTAGTAATGGGAGAGGGAGGCAGGAGGCTACGAAAGCAGGCGGACGCCGAGAACCTCTCATTCTCGATCTCTGTAGGTTGGCGGGAAAGCCCCACGGGAGCGGATCGTGCATTGCTGACGTGTCGTCAGATGCCGACGTGTCGTTAACTGCTGACATGTCATGAAGTGCTGACGTGTCATGGAACGCTGACGTTCTGACCTCTTCGGTGGCAGGGTGAAAGGGGCACGAGTAATCCTTGACGTCAGCAGTTTTTTTGAACAGGACGACTCGTGTCCCTGGAGTATCGAGGACACCCATGCCATGCAGACTAGATAGAATATGCGTAGACGGCAACAGTTTTCTTGAAGAGAAAGAAGGCTGCGAGAAATGAGCGGAGCCGTCCATTACGTCGATACCGGTGATTAAGCAAGCTACCTGTGTGTGTGTGTGTGTGTGGGTGGGTGGGTGNAGGGAAGAGAGAGAGAGAGAGAGAGAGAGAGAGAGAGAGAGAGAGAGAGAGAGAGAGAGAGAGAGAGAGAGAGAGAGAGCAAGGGAAGGGAAGAGACAGCTCAATCGGAGTTTCGTGTTCACACAATGCGGAGACGGCAATCGGACAAAATGTCGATGGATGAACTAGACTGAAAGTTGTGTCAGTTTTTTTTTTTTTTCCCTCACTTTTTTTCTCGATTGGAAGGGAAAAAAAAAAAAAAATGCTGACTGAAACCGGGACGCAATTACTGTGATATAGAATCAGCCAACTACTAAAATCAAAGGCTAGTTTTTTATTTTTTTTTATTTTTATTTTTCCCCAATGCTGAGACTGGGTATAACAAAAAATATAACAAAAAAAGAAAGAACGTTTCGATTAACGTCCGACCCTCAGAGCGTACTCACACTGGCACCAAAAAAAAAACTTAAATGTATCTGACCACATTTATAGCCTCGCCTGGATGCATCTGGCCGCAATTCCGTTCCGAAATACGTACGAGAAAAAAAAAAAACAAACAAACCGAATGATGTGAGTTATGCCCTCAAGCTAGCGAAGCGAGACAAGCTCCACCAGAGTCACCGCACGTTAAAAAAAAAAGACAAAAATCATGGCTCTGTATCTTCCCATGTTCTAGCGCAAGATTCATTCTCAATTTTGCACATCTGGTGAGTGGTGGAGCGAGGCCGTTGTTCCCCGAGGCTGACGTCAGGTGCGCCAAGTAAAACGATAACACGCTGTCACTTGACGGTCGCGATCGAGGGATTCAGATCGAGATCGGAATCGGGATCGGGATCAGGTTCGAGAGCGGGATTAGGATCGAGATCGAGAGATCGAGATCGGGATCTGCATCGGGATCGGAGATCCAGACCGAGATGGTTAGTATGTAACTGGTAGCCCACTTACAGTAGTGGCAAGAATTTTTCGCGAGTTGTCGAGAATTTAAAATATAAAAATCGAAAATTGAAATTGAAAATGTCAGTGCTTTCGAGAACGCGCGTTCAGAACAATTTTCATTTTTTTTTTTTCTCCCCAAAATTTTAAAATTTCCTTTTTTTGCATTGCAAAGCACCCATCATAAATTGCAAAAAAGCAATCATCATTTAGTCACAGCGATGTTAAAAAAAAAAAAAAAAAAAAAAAAAAAAACCTTCGCTGTTACGACTCGCGATGTAAATTCAAATACGTGAATTTATGAATCGCGAAAAAAAAAAAAAAAAAAAACCTTTTGTGCACCAGCAGCATGGCAGTTGGCAAATGATTATTTTTTTGAGTATTTTTGTGAAGTATCACAAAAAAGACAAATTCACAAAAATCACAAAAAATCACAAAAATTACAAAAATTCGCAAAAAATCACTACAAAATTTGATAGCTACCAGCCTCGATGATGACCCTGTTGTGTTGTGAATCGCCGCGACGACGTTAATCATCATTCCATTGTGATGATTATCTTCATCAAACAAAAAAAATCACTCGTATCCCCCTTGATCATGATAACGTCTACATTCATTACCCGAAAAAAATGTTTAGGATGGTAATTATAATATGCACGCGAATCATGATCTTATCCACTCAAAATGATCACTTCAATCATTTTGATTTAGGGTTTTTTATCTGTACGTCATTTATCACGCGGGGAACGAATCCTGATCTTATCCAATCATTGCTCACGTGAACCAATCAATCACTCATCACGTGAATCATTTGAGTTTTTATCTAATCAATCACTCGTCACGACAATCATCATCTTGTCCAATCATTGATCACCGCGCGGCGAATCCTGATCTTATCCAATCATTGCTCACGTGAACTCATCACTCATCACGTGAATCATTTGAGTTTTTATCTAATCAATCACTCATCACGACAATCATCATCTTATCCAATCATTGATCACGCGAATCATTTGCAGTAATTTTATCCAATCATTGATTGATCACGTGAGTCATCTTATCTACATCATCATTGATTACTCGGAGAATCAGAATCCTGATCTTATCCAATCATTGATCACGTGAATCCTTTTGATTTCATTTTTTAACCAATCGTCTTGATCACGTGAATCATTTATTTTCTTATCAAATTTTAGACCTGAATGACAAGAAAATCTTCCATTACGATATTATTCGCCCCTCAGGTTATGTCAAATTCACTGATTCGAGAGCTCTCGATCACGTGATCGATTTTATGTCAGAGTTTGTCAGACAGACTGCCAATCGTGTGAAGGAGGCTGCCACCATGTCATAATATCCGTTTCTTATCCTCTCTCCTCCCCTTCTACCCGTGAACTTTATCCGTTTCTTATCCGTTTTTTTAGGACATACTCGCACTAGGGTGTTCCCTGGATGTATCTGACCGCTTTTCCAACCCCGGCAGCCTGCACCTGACCGCAGTTAAGAACACCCACCGAGAACTCGAAAACGTCCCCGCCTTTGAGTATATGGCGCTTATCCGTTTTTTGTCCCTTTTTGGTCCGTTTCTTGTCCACTTCTTCCCACGAACCCCGGCAGCCTGCATCTACCAATATTACGACTCCTGGCAGCTTCGCAGAGCGACAGGGATAAGAGCGATATGACTCTCTCTCTCTCTCTCTCTCTTTCTCTCTCTCTCTCTCTCTCTCTCTCTCTCTCTCTCTCTCTCTCTCTCTCTCTCTCTCTCTCTCTCTCTTGGATTCGAAGTCTTTGTTGGCTTTCTCAGATTGGAATTCCAAATTCCAGTGCTACCTTCAGCATTCCGATATCGAGTTAATTTCAGCTCCAATCATAGCAGTTGAAATTCGCTCTTGTTCAGCTCAATCGTAGCAGTTGTCCTACTGCCTCTTGTTCAGCCTATGATCACATCGAGGGTCAGCGGATGGTGGGGAGGCTCCTAACATACGCATACGCAGAATCCTTATCAGATTAAGATCGGTATAATGTGTGTGTGTGTGTGTGTGTGTGTGTGTGTGTGTGTGTGTGTGTGTGTGTGTGTGTG